CTTCATCGGGAGTCTTCATCACTTTATCTAGTTGAATCAAAAATATAACTAATTAAATGTTAAAATTGCAATAGAAATACGTAAATTAAAAAGCGTGGAAAAACAACAGTAGTAATATTTAGCGCATAAAATATTGAAAATACTTCAAAAATAATTTTCAAAAATTCTAATCAAGTTCATTGATACCGACTTCGAATTGTTCAGTATATTTTTGGAGGAATAAAAATATTCTGGAATCTTCAGTTTATTACACTTTTCTGCCACGAAAATATTTCAATTATTCAATTATAAAATCCTACATTCGTTAAATGAATGACTGAAAGGAGGATGAGTTACTAATAATTCCAACAATGACTGAAAAGATTTGAATATTAATGATCGTCTAGATAAGAAGATGTATGATCCATACTTTTCAAACTTAAGTTTGTAACCGCAGCCTGTGATACTTGAAAGATAGTTCAAATTTGCATTTAAGTTTGGGACCATTATCAGATTCATCAGCTTCACCCTTCTTTCAATACCCATTTTGTTTTATTTCACCCTCACCTGTGATTTGTGACTTTAATTTATTCCTCTCACAGTCAGCCAGTCTGATATATCCTTGTTAATCCCCTGTCTCTTCAAATATCCTCGCATCACAAGCCATGTGTCTTGCTGACCTGCAACGGAACATCCAAATTGTGTCCCAAATATTCTTGTACGGTCCATGTTCTTGTAAACTTCTGGGTATCTCATACCTTTGGTCATGTACAGCTATAACTGCTTCACCTGCATTCATCATCATTATCACCTGCTTGTCACGTCCAGGTGCACTTCCACTTCTATCTTTACCCATTCCTCTGCAGCATCCTCCACGCGGAGTAACATGTCTTTTGTCTCATTATAACCGTATGTTGCATGAGCATATCTCTGAGCGGCCTAACATTTAATTAGCCACTACACTCATTTCCTAAATGTCTCTTTTTCCCACATTTACAATAATGCACGTCACTATTTATACTGTCTCTCACTTTCCTGACACCCTCAATGTGTTTCGTTACTTCGTCGTCTCCTCTCTTGCCCTTTTCGCTCTCCTCCTGTTTTAAAGCGTATACTGTGTCTCGCAATGTTGTTCTTCTCTGGCCTTCTAATAACCATACATTCTGTTACTACTCTGACATAACGTCCTGCATGACCTACATTTCAATTTCATACCCCCATGTATGTTTAGCAAATTCGCCACGATGATTTCTTAATTCAGTTGCTCTATTGATAAATTCATCGATGCCTTATTCCCTTTTCCCGCATATGCTTGTCAATTTATACAATGATCTCACTCCCATTCCTTCTCTGTCCACAGCCATGTTCTTTTCAATCAAGTGCCACGTTTCGTCTCCATTCTTGTCAGGAGTAGATTTCAGTAACTGAGACTTATTGATCTTCTTGATTGTCACAGACCTGTCTACATACTTGTTATAGCCTTATGCGTTCCATACATTGAATTTCTCTTCATATTGCTATCTCCCTTCCTGTAATGGTTCATAGGTATTCACATTTATCAACCTTCTCCATAACTCCTTGGCTAGCAGGACACCAGCAATCTTTTCCGGTGTAGGCAAGTAACTCTATTATCATTTATGCTCCATGTGTCTGTCATCGTAACCTCACATTTGCACGCGTCAACTATAATTCTCTCCAATCCTTTCCTACATTCAAGCCTTGCAATAAATTTCATACGGTTTTATAATTAATAGACAATCATAATGTATCAATACATATGTCCCTTACTATTAACGGGTATCGATAATTTGGTTTAAGCTTTTCATGCTTTCTATACTTCCTCACGCCTCGCACACACGATTTTTACTGACGCCGTACATCCGCAACGTTACCAACCTTGACCTCATTCCACGGCCAACCATTTCCCATTCGCACCACACGAACGCAATCTCGCGCGCATACTATATACCAAACCTCACATATGTAACTTCCAATATTACTGATAAAATTAAATAAATATCAGAATTAATTTTTTTTACAATAAAATAAATAATTATTCCTTATATGTAATGTAAATACTAAGAAAATAAAAATACCTGAATTGAATAATGCAATTCCGGTTATAAGAATACCTTCATATTTCAATTATAATTATTAATCATTTTAAAGTCACATTTTGTGGTTGAGTAACTCCAACTTGAATGGAACGTGTAATATATGTATATGAAAATAGGATCAAAAAAACGAAATAAAGAGAAACAAGTCAGATTTAAGATAAAAAGGCAGTCTAAATTTTAAAAAATATATATTATTAATGCATCACACCTGTGCTCAACAGTACACGCTTCCGCGTGTTTATAACATTATTCCGTTGTTCATAATATTATGAATTTAAATATGTTTATTAAGGTAAAGGTTAAGTTGCAAACTTCACATATGTACATATATGTAATATTATGTTTAGTTATTCACCAATGTGATGAATCATAAGGGAATTATCAGAGGTCAAGTTCGAAATGGTACTTAACGAAAAGGAAAATTAAATGACCGAATTCTTAATTAATATATGTATTTAACTAAATAAACTGAATAATATTAAAGAATAAATACAGAAAATACGTATGCTGGAAAATATGATATAAAGCATTCTAAGAGTATCATCAATATTTTCAATCGAACACGAATAATTAATAACGCCAAAAAATTTATTCAAGCAATTCTCAATATCGTTAAAATTAAATGCCGATGAATTTAAATTTGAACATATTCGAATTGGACAAGCTATATCTTGTGTAATATTTCTAATTAGCACAAAAATTACCCAAAAGCTTATTAAATATCGAAGTGAAATTAATGGCACTAAATGAATAAAGAATTTATTTATGTATTTTCTACAAGACATATTTTTAGTGCTTGTCATAAAGTTAATGACAATTATAAATTAAAAATTAACTATCTAGTTGAAGTAGTAATATGAGGAATTCTATGAAAATGTGACATTGGGGTATATAAATCCTTTGAAATCGTAAATTATTGTAAATTCTGCAAATGTGATTTATAAAAATTGAAATCAAATTAAATTAGATCGACTAGAAATTAATCAATACAGCCTAGGGTAAATAAGAATTGATTCAAATATAAATAATCGCTTAGGAATGTAGTGTTGATGAGTCACTGGACCAAGTATTCCACATATATTTACCAAATTAACTCTCACGTTTTTTTATTGTTACCTCTTCATTGAAAGGTAGATTTTCTAATATATCGTTTTATTTAATTAGTAAATATATTGTATCTATTTTAATACATTGAAGAACTTATTAATGACAAATTGTTGTCATTTGTGGCATTAAATTTTCCTCAAAAGCGCTTATTAATAGACTGTATTTGATGTGAGAAATCAATTCTTCCGATTAAGTCATGTTGCGTCTCGAGCACTTCAACTAGCTAGTGGAATTTCATGGTGTCATAAGGCCCGTTACGCTGCTGCGGCGATGCTGCTTGGGATGCGGCCTACTCTAACTTGGTAGAGGTAGACCTGGTTGGTGTTGAACTGCAGAGAGTTCTATTGTAGATTGCAGTATCCTGGCAGAGCGGTTGGCTGATCCCTATCGAAGATGCTGGTGTCGTCGTGTTGGAGTTTTTCGAGATAATTCTTTGTGAATGCCTTGTCAGTAATGTTATAGGGATCGACTGTCTTCTGATTCTTTGGTATATTATTGGGGGTGTACGCCAACTTCAGTGTCCTCCTATTGTGGATGTTGTGTAAGGAATTTAGGTTCTGACGCCTATAGCTTAAGGGAATAATTTATCGGTCATTGTCACGGTATATCCCAGCGGCGGGTTAGATGACGGTGAGCATGTGCAAGTCAATGGATGCTTTCAATAGAGGCATAAAACAGGTCTCCACTTGAATTGCGACATTGCGGTCCTATGGCCGCAACGTACATCCCGCCTTGAACTGTTTATGGTTCAATGAAATTTAGATATGAAATTAGGGGTGTCGATATGTGAATGCAGTTACAATGATGACTGATGTGTAGAATGACAGTGTGTAGTATCCCTATCGTACAAGGTCGCGTCTTAAAATAAAGTGATCTAGGTGAGTCTTATTTGTATATTATAACAGACATCCTAGACAAATGATCTGATATATCGATAAGCAACGGAGCAAATTTTTAACGCTGCGCTTATATCCTCCTTGGGCCGTCTTGAAGCTAACTATGCGGATCATACCATCGGATCCTGAGTGTGTGGCCGTTATTCTCCCGAGCGGCCACGTCATGCGTGGCGTGTTGTCTTCCTTGATCAGGACCATGGTTCCGATGTCGAGTTCTCTCCCTTGACATTATACCATTTTCTGCGGGTCGTCTGTTCCAGCAAATACTCCTTGAACCAACGTTTCCAAAGTACCAAAAAAATGGTACTGCATGCTTTGAACGTGTCGCCACGATGAAAGCCATCCGTCCGGGTTTGTCGTAAAGTCGATGTCTGCGAGCTTTGTCAGTCTATCGCCAATAAGGATACGACCTGGTGTTAGAGCGGTCAGGCCGTTGGGATCCGAGGATAAGAGTGTTATGGGTTGGCAACTTAGAATAGCTTCTATTTCGTTCACGTCGTTCAGCGAGGCCTAGTATGACAGCAGTCTTTCTCGATCCACACGTGAGTGGTGATGTCTTGATGATCGGAATGCGACTTCCAGCAGTCCGCCAAAGCCCGGAGCGGAATGAAGTGCAACGTGACACCTTCATTCGCAAGTGCCGATGCTATGATGGTGCGATAACTCTGTGATCTCACAAACCTATTTAGTTCCCTTATCAATATATTGGCACCGGTAAAATTGGTGGCATTGTCGGATTTGGTGTCGGAGCATCGGCCTCTCCTCGCCACGAGTCGCCGTAGAGTTGCTAGGACGTCCTCAGTAGCCAGGTCGCCCAAGATTTCCATGTGAATGGCCCGTATCGCAAAGCTCACAAGTATGGCTAAGTAGACCTTAACCATGTTACGAATTCGGTGGGTTTTCATTCCACTTTCATGTGGAACGCATCACAATAATCTATGCCAGAATGCAGAAAGGGTCTTGAAGGTGTGATTCGTGAGGGGGACAGATTGCTCATTTTATAATTGATGGTGGATGGCTTGGCCGGAATGCACCTTACACACTGATGAATAGTTTTTCGATTATGATATCTTCTGCCAGGTATCCAAAATCTTTGTCGCACGCTGTTCAAAGTGGTTTGTACGCCTGCGCGCAAACTTTTGATCTGGTGCCCGCGTATGACTAATTGAGTGACATGATCGTTCCGCGGCAAAATCATCGGATGCTTCATGTCGGGTTTTAAACTTCCCTTCGTTAGTCTGCCGCCCACTCGTAGTATTCCTTCCTTGTCTGTGAATGGGTCTAGAAGCGTCAGTGTGGTGGTCGGTCTCCCGGCCGACATGGCGAGTAATTCATTCCGGTAGGCCCGTTGTGGGATGCATTTTACGATGACCTGTTCCGCCTTGCGTAATTCCGCATACGTCATTGTCTTGCTCGGGAATTTCTTACGGGAGCTGATGAATCGAGAGCGTAACAAATATGCTGTAATTCGTTTGAGTTTGGTGAACGACGAGAATTTCTCGAGGAGGTCAAAGCCGTTGGTAGTAGCGTTCAGTGCTACGACGAGTGGCCGTTGCTCCGGGATACCCCTTGCCGGATCTAGTTGACTTCGGGGTGAGTCTGCCTCCGCTTCCTCTTGCCATTCCGGACCGTGGAATCAAAGTTTGCTGCTAGTCTGGTTCTCCGCCTTGCAATCGCGTGATATCAAATCTGCCGGGTTATCCACATATCGTATGTGGCGCCATTCGTTATCCTCAATCAAGCCTTGAGTGTCCGCGATTCGATGCGATACGAAAGTTTTTAGCTGATGCGGGGAAGTGCGTATCCAATATTTTACTATTGTGGAATCCGACCAAAATAAGTTTTTTTAGGAAGGACACACTCCGTAGTGCACTTGAAACGGTTTGGTGTGTCTTCGACAGTAAATGAGCTGCACACAACGCTAATCGAGGCAACGTGATCGTTTTTACGGGAGCTACCCTTGACTATGACGCCACTAAGTGTACCGATGTGGTGCACCGCGTGCTGATCCCGCGAATGTACATGCATGCCCCGTAAGCTTGCTGGCTCGCGTCGCAGGACCCGTGCAATAGCAATACGGTGTACTCCCTTGTATCTGTCGTCTCATCCTCATGTCTTCCAAAACTAGTAACTCGCGACAGTATGTGGTCCATTGGGTAAGAATGTCCATCGGTACTGATTCCTCCCAGTCTTATTGTAATTTCCACAGTGTTTGTAACATTATTTCAGCGCGTACTGTTATCGGTCCTAGAATTCCGAAGGGGGCAAAGAGTGTTGCAATTTTCGATAATATGGACCGTTTCGTTATAAGGTTGCCCTGTCTCAGTCCCTTAAAGTCAAATCTAAGCGTATCGCGCTTCGCGTCCTGGGAGAGTCCCAACGTATTTATGGTGTTGTCCAGGTCAACTCGTAGCAGTCGGTCATTTGCTTTGTCCTCCAAGGTTTTCACCAGTAGCTCGTCGTTTCACGTCCATTGACGTAGGTTGAAGTCTGCTCGGTTGGAGGCCTTGATTATCTGACCTCGTAGGACTGTTGCCTCGCTATAGAAGCTGGAACACGTTAGTAAGTTATCCACATAGAGGTCTTCGCGGAACGCGGTCACTGCTTGCGGGTATTATTCTCCCTCGTCAGCTGCGAGCTGGTGCAGCCCTTCAGTGTCTAGGGGGCGGCTGACCTGCCGCAGGTGGCGGTGTTAAGGGTACATGTAGCTATCGGCTCCCCCCCCCAATTCAGGCACCAGAGAATGTTTTGATACTCGCGGGCGTCAGGATGCCCCATACTGGAAGGTACACTTTCTTTATATCGGCGGCCATTACGCAGGTGTGTGACCCAAAGCACAATACGATAGAGAGTAGGTCTTCCTGGACGTTTGGTACCACCAACTGTGCGTCGAATAAAGAGCACCCGCTGGTGGTCCAGGCCGGTGCGTCGAAGACCACCCGGAATTTGGTAGTTAGGCGCGATTGCATTATTACAGCATGGTGCGGTAAGTAATATCTGTGCTTGATCGATGAATCCGTCACTAGCGACGTGTGGCCCAACACCAAATATTCGTTTAGAATGTTTTCGTGTCTGTGTCGGAGGTCCGGATTCTGGCTCAATTTCTGTTCCAATGCATAGAATCGCTTTCGTGCCAATGAATAATATTCGCCGAGATCCTTCACATTGTTCTTGAATTTCAGCCGAACTGTATACCTGCGTGTCACGTGGTCGCGGTTTGTTTGCGCTTTAAAATGCGCCTCATATTCTCTGTCTTCTACTGATATTAAAGGGGATCGCGGAGTTCCTTTGACCTCCCAAAATTGCGTGAGCTGATGTAGTGCGTAGCGAGCTATATGACAGCGAGTGAATTGTTGACTATCTACATGTGGGAGTTTGCCTGCCATGATCCAGCCAATTTTGGTTTTCTGTGGCGTGATTGCGTTGCTCATAGTGGGAATCTGCCCGACGCAGAATAACTTTAAGGACACCTCGGCGCCTAGTAATGCGTCCACCTCGGACGGCAAGTTGAAGTTAGGGTTGATTAGAGGGAGATTTCTTGGGATCTTGACGTCGGTCCTATATAGCGCTCGCGATAGTAGCATTTCTGTGATTTGTGGCACGATCAAGAATGTCGCGTCGACTGTGAACGGGCTTGTAAGCGATTGAATTTGCGTTTCCACGGCTTTCCTTACGAAAGTGGTTGTTTGTGTAATTCCAGTTACTGGTACTCCTACGCGGTGATGGGGAATGCCTTGCCTTTTCGAAAACCGTTCGGTAATAAGGTGGGACTGTGACCCGGAATCGAAGAGTAACCGACACGGTTGCTGTTTGTTTCGATTTTCCGGAAGGTAGACGACCACGATGGATAGCACAACCTCTGCCCCATGGGTTGCCTTGAGAGCCGAAACGTTCACTTGATACGCTTGTTGCGGCTCGCCCGTCTGCTCCTCATGCAATAATGTATGGAGGCGTCCGCTGCAACGTCTACATTTGATTGCCAAGCATTTTTGCACTCCGTGACCGACGCGTAAACAGTTCGTGCATAACCTTGCTCCCCTTACCAATGCAAAAGTCACTGCTAATGTGGCATTAATCATGTTCGCGCATGCTTGTGTGAGGTGGTTGCCATTGCAAAGGGCACATGTCATCTGGGCGATGGAATGGGCGCGTATCGTTTGTGATCTCGATCTCGTGTTTGGTTTACGAAATGAACGAGTATTCAATATGCCAGATTTCTGAGACCCTTCGTGCCGCGAGGTTTCTAATAATTTCCGTCAGTGTTGTAGGAAGTCGGGGATGCTCCTTCTGCATTCGTTCCTCCCACAACAGTCTGGTACGGTCATCTAACTTAGGTGTTATCGCGTGCATCGTGAGCGCCTCGAGGAATGGCTAATTCAGGGCTTGTAACGCACGATAAGGTTTAGTCGCTTGATCCACCAATTCTCCTAAGGAATATGCGTTGAATCGAGTGACTGCTGGAAGGTTGAAAAGCGCTTGAATCCTATTGGAATACGACGCATTGTGCGCTGTACAGCCGTTCCAACAGATTCCACGCAACCGAATATTGCGCTCTGGTTGCTTCTAATGATCCTATTCCTTCGGCAGCCATCCTGGTCGGACAGGACCGCAAATATATGAGCTTCTGCGCATCGTGGAAGCGTGCGTTGTCATGCACCGCGGCCTTGAACGCGTCGCAGGAACTCGTCCACGCCTCATTACACCACCAAATTGTTGGCCACTGCATAGTCGACAGCTTGACTTGCGGCTCCTTGAATACCGCGAGCGGTGATGCTGAATTGACCGTCGTTTCACAATCCGTCAGCGGCGGCTCTGCGTTTCGCGAGTCGAATTTAGCGACAATGCTTTTGTGCGAGACATATTATGAAGGTAGGTGTCGTCGTGTTCCGCACGTTCTGCGAAACGTGACTCCAATTCCTCGTCGGATGCGGCTAATTCAAGCTTCTCCAGAGACGATTCTAGTGCTCTGCAGTCCTTTTCCATGCTTGTGATTCTGAGGCGCATTTCTCCAATTTCTTCAGCGCCGTAAACATCCCATGACGGGACGTACTCTGCGAAGTGCGTTAATTTGCTTTCGAACCTAGCGCGTTTGCGAGAAAGTGAGCGCGTGTTATCGGCGGTTGCGAGTGCCAATGCTAACCTGACGCAAGTCTTCGAAGGATTGATAGGATGGCGATAATCTTACGTGATGATGACCAGACGTAGCTGCTTCGTGATGCTGAACGTTCCCCGATGGGAAAGTGGAGAAGGCTTCGAGGGGTTGAGTTTGCCCCTTGCGATGCGTGTTAAGCTTTGTCGTTCCAGGTGTCCACTGGCTCTGGAATCGGCTCAGATAATGGTTCGATGGTTCATCGCGACCGTTGCTTCAGATTCCGCGTGGAGATCCGGATGTGGATTCAAGTATGTGAATCCAGCTCAAATGACAAGTGTTGCGGATTCAAATGTTCGGTTCCGGCTCCGATGGCCCACAGTGTTGCAGATGCTCTTGAGTCGAATCCGGCTCGAAGGACCAAATGTTGCGTCCCGAGCACTGCAGCACGCTCGTGGAGTTTCACGGTGTTGTAAGGCCCGTTATGCTGCTGTGGCAATGCTGCCTTGGATGCGGCCAACTCTAACTTGATAGATGGATAGGTTGATCTGGTTGGTGTTCAACTGCAGAGAGTCCTACTGTAGATGACAGTCTTCTGGCAGAGTGGTTGGTAGGTCTCGAGCGATGATGCTGGTGTCGTCGTGATGGACTTTTTAGAGAGAATTCCTCTTGAATGCCCTGTTAATAGCTTTATTGGGATCGATTGTTTTCAGATTGGTTGGTACGCTATTGGGTGTGTAAGTCAACTTCAGTGTCCTTCGGTGATGGTGGTTGTTTGAACAATTTAGGATCTGACGCCTATCGTCTAAGAGGATAATTTATCAGACCTTGTCACGGTCTATTCCAGCGGTGAGGTAGTCTTCGCTGAGCATGTGCAAGTCAAGTGGTGCTTACAGTAGAGGTATAAAGCAGGCCTACACTTGACTTGGTACATTGCGGTCCTAGGGCCGCAACAAGACATATAATTTAGAGATAGTGAAAAGGATAGCCTAATATTAATTTTAAAATGGCAATTTAACGCTACATCAAAATATAACTAATTTATAAGCAAAATAAGTTGAATTTTACTTTTAATGCTCTTTGTAACATATTTTGTCGATGTTCTTTCTTATGTAATTGGTACAGAAATATGATTCCCAAACCAAATTCTTTAAAATTGACCAAAATATAAACCTGCACATAAACAAAACAAATTAAATTCATTTGTTTGATCAGGAATTGCATCACTTTTAATACCCAATATTGAAATTCCTCCGGAATGAACTGCATCAGTTGATGAAAGTAATAAAGGTAAAGAGAGTTTTATTGGAACTGCTATATAACAATATCGGTATCAAGAAGGTGAAGATTATGAATTATACAACAAATCAGTACACAGGAACCAAGCTCAAAACTACTAAATTCAGGATATCCATGTAATCTGCATCATTGATGTCCAATCGACTTAATTGAAAAATGATTTAGTAAATCATGAACACAATGCAAAGATTTTAAAGACGGAAAACGAATCAATATTGAAATAATTATAGGAATAATTGTTCAATTTATTTGGATTACTTGATCCTTTGATAAATATATATGAATACGTTTATTACGAAAGATATTCAGAATCAACGAAATAGATAAGAACATATGTGTTAGTATAATTAGTGCAATAAAATTCCGTAAATAAATTAAATTATCTGAATTAATTGAATTTGATTGCATTGAATTTGCAAATTGAATTGCAAAATTGGTATATTTTATGTTAAAATTTTTAATATCAGGATCATATTCCATATTTTAGAATTTCCATCTCGTGGCGCATTCCTATCATATTAGAATCTCATTTATTCAATTATGAAATTGTAATTTCGTTAAACGAAACACAGAAAGGAGGATTATTTGCTAATATTTCCAACGATGATTGGAAGAATTTAAATGTTAACGATCGTCTAGGCTAATATATGATCCAATATATCCAATATGTGATCCATACTTCTCAAGCTTAAGGCTGTAACCACAGTCAGTCGTACTTGAACCAGATATCAAATTTGCATTTACGATTGAGACTTGCAGCTGATTCTTCAGCCTCACACTTCTCTCTGTAACCGTTTGGTTTCATTTCACCTTCACCTATGCTTCGTGACCTTAATTTATTCCTCTCTTGGCAAGCCAGTCCGATATCTCGTTGTTTATCTCATATTTTTTCAAATATGCTTGCATCGCAAGTCATATGTCTTGTTGACCTGCAATGCAATACCCAAATTATGTCTCAAATGTTCTTGTACGATCTATGTTCCTGTAAACTTCTGGGCATCTCATACCTTTGGCCATATGCAGCAATAACTGCTTCATCTGCAGTCATCATCATTATCTCTAGCTTATCACGTCCAGATGCATTTCCACTTCTACCGTTACCCATTCCTCTGTAGCATCTTCCACGCGGAGTAATAAGACTTTTGTCTCATTATAACCTTATGTTGCATGAGCAAATCCCTGAGCAGCCTAACATTTAATTTGCCACTACGCTCACCCGCTTTATGTCACTTTTCGCCACATTTACAACAATTAACGTTACAATTTATATTGTCTCTCACTTTCCTGAAATCTTCAATGTCTTTCGTTCCTTCGTCGCATCTTCTCTTGCCCTTTCTGCCCTCTTCTTGTTTGAAAGCGTATATTACGTCTCGCATTGTTGCTCTTCTCTGGCCTTCTAGTAGTCCTACATATTGTTACTACTCTGGCATAAGGTCTTGCATGGCATACATTCCAATTACTTACCCCATTGCATGTTTAGCAAATTCGCCACACAGGTGTGTGAATTCTGCTGCTCTGTTGATATATTCATAGATGTTTTCTACCCTTTTCCTACATATACTTGTCAATTTATACAATGCCCTCACTCCCATTCCTTCTCTATCCGCAGCCATGTTCTCTACAATCAAGTGTCACACTTTGTCTACATTTTTCTCCGGATGAGATTTCAGTAACTGAGACTTACTAGTTGTATCGATTGTCACAGTCTGGGCTACATACTTGTCATAGCCTCATACGTTCCATACATTTAATTTCTCTTCATATTGCGATCCTCCTTCCTCTGATCGTTCATAGGTATTCACGTTAATCACCCTTCTCCATAATTTCTTGCCTGGCAGGATACCCGCAATTTGTTCCAGTGAAGGCAAGTAATTGTAGTATAATCTCTGCTCCATGCGTCTGTCATCGTAACCTCACATTTGCACGAGCCTACTAAAATTCTCAACAACCCTTTCCTACAATTACGCTTTGCTATAAATTTCGTTTGGATTTATAATTAACAGGCACATATAATGCGTCCATGTATATGCTTTTTACAATTAACAGATATCGATAGTTTGGTTTAAGTTTTTCCTTCGCCCTAGACCTCCTCGCGCCTCGCACGCACCATTTTGGCCGTCGCCGTTCATCCGCATCACTAGCAAACCTAATTCTCCTTTCACGTACAATCTGTTCCCATTCGCACCACCTGAAAGCCATCTCACGCAGATAATATAAACCAATCTTCACAAATGTAATTCCTAATATTGCTGATAAAATTAGGTAAAGATTAGAATTAATTTTTTTACTATTTAATTAAAAATTATTTCTCATAGACAATGTAGGTACTAAAAAAATGAAAATAACTGAATTGTATAATGCAATTCCAATTATAAGATATCTTTGTATTCTAGTTATAATAATTGTTCATAATGAAAGTTCCGTTCAGTGATAAAGTAGTTACAATTTGGATTGATGTTTATATACATATATGAAAATAGGATCAAGGGAATGGAACAGATAGAAACAAATCTGATAAAACATGTAAATGTAGTCTAAATTTCAAAACATTTATATTATTAGTACATGATACTTTTGCTCCATGGTAAATTCTTCCGCGATTTTATATTATTATTCTACTGTTCATAATATTACTAATATTTTTATATTTGTTGAGGTAAAGGTTAAGTTATGAATTTTACGTACATACATATATATAATATTATACTGAGTTAATCATCAAAGTGATGAACCCTAAAGAAA